AATAATTTCCATATCACTTGCACGTACAAGTTGATCTGTGTCTATTTGTAAATATGTAGACGTGTCTGCATATTTCTGTATATCTATATGCAAATTAATGTAGTTTCACTCTTAGAAACCTTGCAAGAGCACTTGACTCTGTCAAAAGTAACTCCTTTAGTTACTTTATAGGGCCTTAAGTAAGTTTGGATGGCTGTTAAATTAGTTATGTTTCAGACTAATTCCAGTTTAACATTTCTAAGAGCTATGAGCTTCCTTGGTATGTATTACTTTTTATTTGAAATTTCTTTTGCTATACGAATGACTTATATTTACATTAACTTGAAGATTATACATGCTCTTGCTCGTCATTGTTGCCTTGATACTTCTGCAGGAACTTTTGTGATTAGAAGGCCCATTTATTTGTATAACTGCTTTAACCTTGATGTTCTTGTTATCAGATCTATGATATATTCCAGCTACTTCCGTCCCAGATTCAGGTGGGAGTGTTTTCAGCTACAATGCCTCCTGAGGCGCTCGAGATCACTAGGAAGTTTATGAACAAACCTGTTAGAATTCTTGTGAAGCGTGATGAGCTAACCTTGGAGGGCATAAAACAGTTTCATGTCAATGTTGAGAGAGAGGAATGGAAGCTAGACACACTCTGTGATCTTTATGAAACATTGGCCATCACTCAGAGTGTCATTTTTGTGAACACCAGAAGGAAGGTTGACTGGCTTACTGACCAGATGAGAAGCCGGGACCACACAGTTTCAGCAACCCATGGAGACATGGACCAGAATACCAGAGATATTATTATGCGTGAATTTCGCTCTGGATCTTCTCGTGTTTTAATAACGACTGATCTTTTGGCTCGTGGTATTGATGTCCAGCAAGTGTCACTAGTTATTAATTATGATCTTCCCACTCAGCCTGAGAACTATCTCCATCGTATTGGTCGTAGTGGGAGGTTTGGCAGGAAAGGTGTTGCAATCAATTTTGTGACAAGGGACGACGAAAGAATGCTGTTTGACATCCAGAGATTTTATAATGTGGTAATTGAGGAGCTGCCATCTAATGTTGCTGAACTCCTATAATGAGATTTTGCCTTCCATCATTAATAGAGGAAAGTTGCCATCAGAAATAGAGGAAAGTTGGATTCTCTTGGGTAACTATTATGTAATGCCTTTTTTTTTTTCCCTTTCCAATTTTGTTAGATCTCCAATTTTAAAGATTAAACCTTGTTTAATAGGCGTAGTAATTTGATTTAAATTATCTGTTGTCTAAGTGGTAAGATATTACTTACACTGTGGAATCCCTTAGTGTCTGGCAATATCGTGTATGGCCATTGTTACGCATTTCTTGCAGCCAATATTTCTGCTATTAATTATAATGTTAAATTACATTACTTCCTCAATTATTTAGACGTTTCTTAGTCTATAGCTCGTGCATCATTTTCTACAAGCTGATATTATGGTAGTCTGTTTCTAGTGATCGTTCCTGCTCTTCCTGTTCCTGTAAATTGACTGGCAACTTAAATTATGAACAACAGTTAGAACCTATAGTTAGATCTTTAATTTGGCCCAACCTAACTAGTGCTAAACTAATAATCTGGTTAAGAAATGGAAGGCCCCACATTTATTCTTCTTAAAATGCAAGTATAAGTTAGAACTAGTAAGGTGTATACCCCCTTTTTTTGGGTGGTGGGACCGGCTAGCAAGATGTATACTTATCATTGAGGAGATCTCATACATTAATAAATTGTATATTATAAACATCAATCAATCGATAAAAATATAATTAAATCATGTAACATTTAATTTCAGTTGGATTAATAAAGTCAGGTAAAATCATAATTAAATGGTGGAGGATTTTTTTTTTGAAAAGTCTCTTGCCAATAATGGTGAAAAATGAAGATAAATGAGTGTGAACAATTTATGTTTATTATTTAATTTTAATTAGTCTGCACAAGCTACACTCAATAATGGACGATTATTAGAAGGGAAACGTAAATCTCTTTTCTATTTAATATAAATTACAGAGACTTTTTGGTTTTGTTTTAGAAACCTATATGAACCTTCCTCAAGATCAGAATACATGTTACATAAACTTTTTTTTCAGTTTTGGAATCCAACTTTCATTCACCTATTGGTATCTTTATATCTATATGTGTTTTCAATTAAATTATAAAGTTACGCCTTAATTTAGCGAATTTAGTAAAAATATTAAATAGATCATTAATAAATATTAATCCTTAATTTAGTGAATTTAGTAAAAACATTAAATAGATCATTAATAAATATTAATATTAGAAGATAAAGTAAAGATTTAAGATGTTAAATGTTTCATCAAAAAGTAGTTCTAGTTAATATATATAATTAGTAATGATATTTTAGAGAAGACAACACATATTTACTATAAATAACTAATTTAAATAATTTCTTTAATATGTTTAAAGTAGTCAATTAACTCTTACATGAAGGATTAGAAATAGTATAACCATATATATCCTTTATTATAAGCCTCTAGAGGCCTCTTCACCTTGGCATTGTTAAGGATGAAGATGAAGATGATGGGAACAATCATCTTCACTTAAATTCTTGATAAGTTTGTGTTTAAGATGCATCTGAATTCCGCAAGGAGTTTTGATCATCTTTCTATAAAGTTTGGAAGGTATATGAAGTATATCTCAATTAATACACGTACACATTTTAACTAACTTCGTGGGGTCCTAATTGCAACTATAAGAACCATAGTTGAGTCTTAACAGCAATTATTCTAACCTTGCTTACGATACGACCTTGATTAAGATCCCATTTCTCTAATTTTTAAAATTAAACTCATTATTAAAATTTTATTAAAGTTTTAAAACCCCATTTTCCTAATTTCTAAAATTGAACTCACTAAATTTTTTCCCCCCTTCCCTCTATTTCTCTCGTGCCAAAGATGGGATAAGAGCAAAAGGGGAGGATTGGGGATTGGTAATTTGGTGTTGTACGAAGTATGTAGCGTAAATTTCGTTTGATTCTTTTCTTCTACAGAAGACAACGAACGATTTAAGACCAAGGACGGAGAGGGGTTACAATTACGTGCATCTTTAGGAAAAAATTGCAAAACATGAATTTTCTAAATAAGTTTGGTTAAAGAACAGGTAATATAATAGAATATAAATATAGCTTGGACCCAGTATAAAATATAGATAATATAGATATAACTGAAATATTGTATAAAATTCGTTTGCTTTCAAACCAACTTATGTGGTCAAAACTAAACTTATTGTTCGCTCGGCTAAAATTAGTTTAAAACAAGTGTCAATCTCTTTTGTTTGTCGAAAAAAATTTAGAAATTTTTTAAAACAACACAATTTCAAAAATAAATAAATAATCATATTAATACATAATGAATAATGTAAAATAAAAAGTTTACGTGTTTTATTTTTATACAATATACGTTGGTATATTGACCCTTTTTTCGATTTGAATACAATTGATCTGTTCAATCAATCGCAATTAGTGTAATGTATTTTAAACTATAATTATGTAAAGATTATATAAGAAAACAAACAATTTTTTTTACCCAATTTTTTTGACTCTTTTATTTTATATCTTTGAAGTACTGTGAACTAAATTAAAAATTAGAACATTCATTTACCAATCAAATTACATAATCTAGCTCAATTTTCACGAGTATTGTCATTGAAAAATAAGGAAAAAAATATAAATTGATAAAATTATGGAAATTGGACATATTTTCTACCCTTAAAATTAATTCTACATGCCTATATTTTATAAATTTTGAAAGAAGAAGCACTATTTATAAGTTATGCATATTAAAACTTATCCCAATTTCTATATGAAGCATGGACCACATCAATTTTTGTAAAATATTGAAGGCATATATAATAAATATTATTGAAAGCAAAGCAACCAACAAAAGTTTGCTCCTTGATAGGGACTTAATACGTGTTCTTTTGTACTCACGAGGCTTGAGAAGTGATAGATAATGAGAGGGATAGTTTTATGCTTCATCTGTTAGTTATACATACATACGTATTCTGCAAATTATATTCTCTCCAATCTAAATATATTGGGAGAAGGGTTTATTTTAATACTAAATATAATATTTCAACTTCAAGTTACTTTATATTCCAAATTTATAAGTTTTTTTTCTAAACTCTCCCAATTAATAGTGTATGTTAAGTGGGTTTTTTATTTTTTGAATGCAAATGGTTAAAAGACAAAAATAATTAATTTTCACTAATATTTTTTTAAATTTTTAAAAATTAGCTATCTAATGCTTTTTTTAAACCAGATTCCTGTTGAAAAGAATTCTGCTGTACTACAAAAGATCACCTCTTACCAACAGAGGATTTAAACTTTAAATTTGGCATGTTTTAAGATATTAACCAATTTAATCTAAGAGAGTATTTAGTAACCAAAAAATACTTTTTAAAAATATTTTGTTCATAAATAGAGACAAATTTTGTCACATATTTACTTCATATATCATAAAAGTATTTTTAAAATTATAGTTTTATTTCTAACTAAAGATCTTCTAAATCCTGGCTTGGTTGATTTATGCAATGTAGTTTAGTGGGAAACAAAACAAGGGTGGAGAGGGAGAGAACCCAGAGAAGAGGTCGTGTCGACGTGTCGTTCCGCTTAGACGTTAAGAAAGGGCAGCCGGGCTTACGTGGCAAGCAAAGGCGATGCCTCCTCAGATCTTTCGTGTCATCACAAGGAACCTTCCAACGGTCTCATTCTGCATCCACAGCCTTCCCAGTTCCTTCATTCACCTTGCTCGTTTCCTTCTAATCCAACCCAAAACTGTCTTCCTAAAGCGCTTTGCTTCACCTGCTCACTATTCTTTATTCTATTCATTATTCCATTTACATCTCATATTTATTTATTCATTCTCATTCTAATCTCACACACCCCAAAACCCATTGCGTCATTTCCTCGCTTTCCCCCTGATTTCCTTTTGATTTCTATTCCAAATCCAATGTATAATCCTCTTCCTCCTCAATATTCTCTCTTCTTTTATCTCTCGCCCCACATTCTTCGGATTCCTCTTTCCTGCATGAAGTTTCTATTCTCAATATCAAGTTAATAGTAGGATTCTCATCAGAAAGTCTTTTTTGTTTTTTCTGTTTTAGTTTCTGTGTGATCGTGTAAGGGCTTGGTTTCTTCTCTATTCCATGGCTGTTTCTCAAGTGCCTGAAAGTGTAGGCACCACCGCCACTGCAACTACTACTACTACTACTTCTGCCTCCGTTCACAGCGATTTGGATCTCAATCTTGCTTCTCTTCGTCGAAGGCCCCTGTCCGGGTCTTCTGTTAGGCCTGAGGCTTCTGAAGCTGAGAGTTCTGCTGAGGATGTTCTCAGAGATTCTGGCTCCAATTATTCCAAGGCCGGCGCCGAAGATGGCAATCAGAAGTTGGAAGGTCCCAATGTGATCAGCCAGAAGGTTCCAGAGCAGCTCCCTGATGTTTCCGCCCTGAAGTTTGCTTATCGTCCTTCGGTTCCGGCTCATCGCAGAATCAAGGAAAGCCCTCTCAGCTCCGACAAAATTTTCAGACAGGTTGCTGCAGTGAAATTCTCTCCAGCTTAACGAATTGGCTCTTTTTCTTGATGCTTTTATGAACAAGTTGTTTTTTCTGGCTCGGCAGAATTTTACTAAATAATCTACGAATTGCAGAGTCACGCGGGCCTTTTCAACCTCTGTATTGTAGTGCTTGTTGCGGTGAACAGTCGACTCATCATTGAGAATTTAATGAAGGTTTGCCTATTCCATTTACTCCTTCTATTCATTCTGAGCAATTTACATTTCCCGTTCTGCAGAAGTATCTCTGAATTTTGACAGCTCACTTTTGTCTTTCTTATTTATTTATTTTCATGTTTCAGTATGGTTGGTTGATTAAGTATGACTTTTGGTTTAGCTCAAGATCATTGAGAGACTGGCCACTCTTCATGTGTGGGTAATGCCTTCGATTAATTCCTTGATGATTTTTAGGACGTTCGAGAATCCTTGTTTGGATTAGTCATTTGATGTTATATACCTTTAACAGCGCTTCCTTTGCAGCCTCTCCCTTGCAATATTTCCTGTTGCTGCCTTTGCAGTGGAAAAATTGGCGCAAAAGAAGTATATACCTGATCCAGTAGGTGATTTTTCCTTGCTTTTTTTTTTTTAAATAATTAGAAGTGATTTCGCTGTCCTTTGCCTTCTTCGTCTGTTTGAACCGATAAATGTTTTATGGTTTAATGCTTTTCGGGAACACAGCTTTCCAACTTACATGTTTGGGAACATTGACCGGAATATCTCAGGTTGTTGTTTTACTACATGTAACCGGTACGTCAGCTGCAGTGTTATACCCGGTTTTAGTAATCCTCAGGTTGGTATGATTCTTCCCTGGAGACTAAAATTCATTTGGAGGTTCATATTACACCGTCATTTTATGTTACTGGTAACACCATTGTATGTCCATTTGGGAAGATTTTGCTTCCAGGGTACGAGTTCCAGTTGCTCAAAGTGTAACAAATAAAGAACTCTAACGTAATCTAGTATGATCCTTACAGTATTTAAGGAGGGATTTAAAGCCCTTTTGCAAACCATAGTTTGATGTTTTGGAGTATAATCCTTTTTCCTCATCGACTTAGCTTAATCAGTGAGGAAAAATTTAAACAAACATTCCTAACGAGTGTCATCCATTACAGGCAAACCGATCATTTATGACAAGCAAAAGAAAATAAAAAAGTTTCAGAATCAGCGAATAAGAATTTTGATTGATCATAGACATTGAATAGACAATCTTTTAGACTATTTTGAAACTATATAATCGAATCGGTAGAACCCCTTTACCCCCTCCTTCCAGGGGCATCAGGGCCGGAAGGATTGAAGGAATGCCAGAAGCAAACGATTCTGTTGCACTGTGTAAGCAAGCAGACATCTAATTGGTCCACTGTAAGTATGCAAGTGTAACTTTTGCAGGCCATTAACCAGCCATGAGATGTCTTTTTTGGGTATTACAGTTAGGAGTTTATTTAGGTTTTGCCTAGACTAAGTCCTTTTCACGGGTGATGTGGATAGTGCACTTACCCTTGTCTGCCTGATGCGTTTAGGATTTTACTACTAGAAGAATTGAATCCTGCTTTATAGGGAGAGATACTGTCTCCTCTGACCCCCTCAACGGACAGCGTCGGTGGAAGTGAATTTGTCTAATTGATGAATAAAATAACTAATCTGATGGGAATACCTGGCCATTCCCTAGATAGGTATAGTGTGAAGATATTTTTAATGATCTGTGGTCCTTTTTTGCAGGAGTGATTCTGCTTTTTTATCAGGCATTGTATTGATGCTTTTGGCTTGCATCGTCTGGTTAAAACTGGTGTCTTATGCTCACACCAACTATGATATGAGAGCAATGGCTAGATCAATTGAAAAGGTTACTTACTTCCCCCTTCATTCGTTCTTACAGCAAAGTAATATTATGCAATAATTCCTTCTGACAATGATAAATTACTGTTTTTTTGAAACCCCTCCCCCCCCCCCCCCAAAAAAAAATCATTGTACTCAATATTCTTCTGTCGTACAGGGAGAAGCACTACCCAATACTTTGAATATAGAGTGCCAATTCAACGTGAGCTTGAAGAGCTTGGCATACTTCATGGTTGCTCCTACATTATGTTACCAGGTGGTGGAACTTCTTAGCAATTTATCTATTTACTTTTTTAATGCAGAATGTTCTACATTTTCAAGTATTTTTTTCATCCTAATGGATAAAAGGCTGTTATATAATTTATTTAGAGCTGCCAAATTTTTATCTGGGATGTTTTGTTAGAGTTGATGTCAGAAGTGATACAGGAAGGATTTATGATCTTGTCCTAGGAAATTAGTTGATGTGTTTTTTTTAATTGTAAACTGAGAGGCGTCGCCCATCTATCCATTTTATGGTCCATGCAAAGACTAATCTTTAATCGCACTGCAAGGCCATGTGGTTCTGGTCCCAAGGAATCTTTCTAGGGCTCAAACTTAGATTATTTTAGTTTGCTGCATTAGTAATTACCTAGCTGGAATTTATTGAAAGCCTCTTGCTTGGCTTCAATGAATGCTCACTTGGGGAAGTATTTTTACCGCTTCTCCTGTATTTTATCTCCACCGTTTAACCCTTGTTCTTATTTTGACATGCCTTCAAAAAGCTGGATAGTTTTTACCGTCAATCATTGTGCTAGGAATTTGATAACAGGGCTTTAAAATTCACACTCGAGCATCAATCGTGCCCTCCATTCATGGAAAACTATGCTCACTTCCTTATTGCATTTTACTATTTTCAAGCATATATGCTGTTGGTTATATATCCCTTAATCATTACTTTGATTTTCTGGTGCCCTTCAGAAGTCATGGATTCACCGTTATTTTATTGTTTGGTCATATATGAGAGCTGCATTTTGTGTGACGTTTGTCATTCATCAACAGGAAAGGGACGAAACTGTATTTTCTTTTAGCATTGAATTGCAGTCTTCATTACAGTTTGTTATCTCAGTTTGTTTTGTGATTCATCTAAGTTCTAAACAGTAACATGTTCAATCTACTCGAGTTGCTTGTGCCTATGTAAATGCTGCTATGATTTGTTTGAATTTGCCTGAATAATTTTTTCCTGAGTATAATTCTGAATCTCCATCATTAACTTGTTTAATGCATTCTCTTTTGTCAACTTGATGATATAGCCAAGCTATCCCCGCACACCGTATGTTCGAAAAGGTTGGGTGTTTCGTCAGCTTATTAAGCTGATAGTATTTACTGGAGTTATGGGATTTATCATAGAACAAGTAAGCAGCATTTATTCAACTATTAAATGTTCTTGTGTACCTCTTATATATTCCTCGAATTATCTTCTTTGTACATGTTAATATATTCTGACGTCTATTTGATAATTTGTTTTTGCAGTATATTAATCCTATCGTCCAAAATTCAGAACATCCTTTGAAGGGAAACCTCCTATATGCCCTCGAAAGAGTCCTCAAGCTTTCTGTTCCTAATTTATATGTGTGGCTCTGCATGTTCTACTGCTTTTTTCACCTTTGGTGTGTGTTACATCCCTCATCTGTCTTTCAGCTTGGCATGTCTATATACAGATAAATAATTTCCTTCTAATGATATCCCCTATGAACCACTGCAATGTTGATGGGAATTTCTAGTTAGTTTTAATACGTGTACTCGTGGTGATTATTGTCATCTAAAAGACATGACTTTCAAGATGTATAATGAATTGTGTGTTCTTTTTGTTGCTTTGCCCATGGTTACGTTCAGGGAGTTTTTGACAAAAATACAGAGGAACCAGAGGGCAAAGTATTGATGAAACTGTTTGTTTTGCTGCGGGGGATAGTCCATCTCCAATTATTAAATTTGAAAGCACAGCTTTGACATTTTAGATATGATTTATTTTTGGAATGGTCTATGCTTAGATGCAGTACTGCAATGTAGGCTCAATATACTTGCTGAGCTTCTTCGGTTTGGTGATCGTGAGTTTTATAAAGACTGGTGGAATGCAAAAACTGTCGAAGAGGTAGTTGTTTGTTCTGGCATATTTCTGGGTTGTTTATTTAAAATATTTTCATGAACCGAATTTCTGACCCTTTTTGTCCCTGTTGGTTGCGTTTATGCTGCTGATGTCATCAGTACTGGAGAATGTGGAACATGGTATGTCTACCTATTCAGACTTTATTTAGGCGACGAAGTTTGTTGAGTTGATTTTTATTTTCGCTTCGGTCATTTGCTTTGGTTCTCATCTTTTTGCTCGGTTCCAATTCTTTATGTTTACTTATTTTGAACTTCGAAGTTTTTGTGCACAGCATAATTTGTTGATGTGGTATAAGGTTTGATCTCGTTGAAATTCCTCAAAATTTTTAAAATCATTGTTTGAATTTTGTCTACTTTCATGGTAGTTCCTGGTGTAGTAGTGTAAACATAGTGATCTTTTTAGGAGACGCACCTTAATTGAGTCCTTGAATGTGTTGATATATCAATTATTAAAACAATGTTATGTTGTTTGTATTGAAAAAAAAAAAAAAAACAATGTTATGTTGCTTTGTGAGTTGGAGAAGCATGGAAATTCTACTTTGCGATTCAAGTTGTAAGACCCCAATGAAGAGAGAACTTACTACAGTATTACACTTTATATGAACAGATTCTATGGTGTACAACCAACTATAATGCAAGTGTTTTACTAATATGAATTTCATATAACTTCTACGAAAGTAAACCAGAATAATATATGATGCTAGGTATTTTGGGCCCAAATAGATGTCTGATGAAATATGTATGGTTGGCTTGAGTTTTACCACAACCCTAACAATTCTAGAACTTTATTGGAGAATGTTTGTGCAGTTTACAAGTGTTGTTTTAATTCATCACTGTATGGCTGAGTTGATTCTTTCCCATCGCAGCCTGTGCACAAATGGATGGTCCGCCACTTATATTTTCCATGCTTAAGGAATGGTATACCCAAGGTACTTGAGCAATCAAGAATCTCCTTCTCACTAGTCAAGCACATTGCTTGTCTTATCATCTGCCAGTGTTCATCACTTCTATAGCTATCTTTTATCTTTTATAGCTTGTCTTTTCCTTTTGGTTGGGTGAGGGTGGTGGAACATTGAAGACTGCAGTTGTTGGAAGGAACTCCTTTCTCTTCCTTCAATTGCACAATTAACTTTATTTATATCTTCATTGAAAGAGAGGATGATGAACATTTTGAAAAAAGAAAATGTGTTGCATTTTACCTATAACAGACTTAAATAGGAGGCACGTTACGTGCTAATTTAATGATACTAAACAAATCAATTAAAAATAAAGCAAACTGCAAAGATATGACATCTGATAAATCATAATTGACACGTATGGTTATTTGCTATTGCCACCTGTTTTCCCCCATGATATTGGGAAGGTGATGAATCCAACTCCTGAATTATATTGTTTATTCATATAACATCCTGATAGGAGTGTAGGGCTTACAGGGTTAGCTACAGGATCAGCAAAAGGAAGAAGAAAATAAAGACTAAGCCGAGGTTCCTATGCATTTGATAGGCATAGGCTCTCCAATGGAAATTCTCTCACAATCCTGTTACCTTCCTCTGGCCCTGCTGTGCCTTTGACTATATCCCAAATTCTGTCTCTTCTAACGGCCAGAGGTATGACAGTTCCTCATTCGCCTTGTGAAGTCTCACTTGGACCGTCCTCTTTCTTCTTCCTACTTCTCCTAGTATGAGCCAGCAAATGCCAGTCTCTTGCCTTCTGAAGTCTCATTTGGACCCTCCTCTTTCTTCTTCCTACTTCTCCTAGTATGAGCCAGCAAATGCCAGTCTCTTGCCTTCTTCAAACTCCTATAATGTGTCTGCAATTGAGGCCCCAAGTCCATCCCCATCAGAAGGAAGGTGGTTGATCCAAAGATATGAAAAAGAAAGGAAACTGATATGAGCTTCCCCAAACCCAGTCACGATGGCGTCACTAGTTTCTCTTTATTTCTGATTGCCCCCTTTGCATACATGGCTTTCCTTTATATATGGAAAAATAGATAATTGTACTACATTACAGTTGGTACCTTTGATAATCGAGTCACTTATTAAAGCACTTTTGGCTGCTATTGACATTTCATGTGGGCATCTCTCAGAAACTCAACTTAGGAATGGTGCTACCGTCATAAAATTGAAAAACCCTCTGGAAGATAGGTTCATATATTAAATTGCAATCTCATAGTAACAAGCATCATTACGCCATATGGTTATTAGAAAACCCTGTGTTAATTTTCTACCAAAAAAAAAAAGAAGAAAAAAAGCCTGTGTTAATTGTACTCATGCAGCGAGAGCAAGGACTGGATTTACTTGGGAAAGCTTGGGAGCTTGTGGGTGCATGAGCGCATATGCAAAATGACACATATTTCATCATCTTCATTCTTGTTTATTTAGTTCTATGTTTTGGTTGATCCATTGGATTGTTCTTTGCAAAATCAAATGTGTTTTGTTGGTTCTTTGGTGGAGGTCTTTAAAATTGAGAGTCAGTAGTCAAAGTTAGCCTCTGTTCGTAATTTCAAGTATTGACTCTCACATGCTCAACATGCATATGCATATGCATGCTTCTAGACTCACATGATTAAAAAAGCTTAGGAGAGGTACCGAGTTAATTTATAACTTATCTGTCTTTTCTTTCTCTGTTTTCAGCTCTGTTATGAATATTAAACTGAGTTCTTTTTTGTTGGCTGATATTTGGATTTATGTTAAACATTGAAATGTTGCTGTTCTAGATTACCTTGTAATTTTTTAATTTCATTATTCTGTACAGGGTGTTGCTATTTTAATCGCCTTCCTGGTATCAGCTGTGTTCCATGAGGTGTGTGGCTCATCCTATATCAGCCCGTTTCCCTCTTATTACATTATCAAATGTGATGGTTGTGTGGGTGCTTCATAAAAAGTTGGCTAGAGCTTGTTTAACTTCACCCCTGGTGTTTTCTTCTATCCATTTCGGCATTTCCTTTGACAGGATTTGGTCGAGTGGATTAAAAAGTTAAAAATATAAAGTTGCACTCATAGGTCGCCAATGACTTTAGCCTGTTAGGCATCATCATAGAACCATCCGCAAATATCAAATGGCCTTAAGAACTAAGCCTAGACTAGTCTAAACCAAGTACCTGAAAGCCTGTTGCTTGGTTTATGACATGTCATACAGGTGTTAAATCTGTCCCAGATGGATTCTGACAAGGCAATCTGCTATCTTCAAAATTTTTTATATATTATAGCATTATCAATTTGAGTTTAGAATGCAAAAAAGGGGGTCTGGCAAAATTTAATGTGGTGGTCTAATATTATGACAAATTATCTGGTAAAAAAATCCAGGTTTTCATGTCAGGAACCACTTCTCATAGTGTATTCGTAATGTTGACTTATTTTCGTGCACTTGTGACCATATTTGATGAAGCCTGCCACTAGTTAATTTGGTTCCTATCAATTGAAGTACTTAAGCGAATATGATTAACTTGATATTTTTACTTTTCAAGGACAACTGACTTTAACTTTATTCATGCTTTCTGTTCCATGTGAATGCAGCTGTGCATTGCCGTTCCTTGCCATATCTTTAAGTTGTGGGCTTTTATTGGAATTATGTTTCAGGTGTAAAACCATTCTTCTCTCTCCCCCCCCCCCCACTGCAACCATTAGAGTTTAAGGTCTCATTTGATATAAAGCATTGAAAATGATAAGATAAGAATTGGGATTGAGATTGAAAAAATACGTTAAAATAGTATTTAATATGAAATATTACTTGCTACTAGGATTGGGCAAACCCATATAGGTGGGATTGAAAAATACCCCTTCCTTCTATGGTAATATCCAATCCCAGCTGCATGGGTTTGCTCATTCCCAAGTAATATAAGCAATGGTTTGCTCATTCCCAGGTAGTATAAGCAATGATTCATATTAAACACTTTTTTTAATGGGTTTTATCAATCTCAATCTCAATCCCAATCCTCACCTCTTATTCTTAATATTTTGTACCAAACATGACCTAAGTGCCCTATTGCAATAATTCACAAGATTATCTAGACCAAGAAAACAAGATGCAGTAATTGGTAGTTCTCCAGTTTTGAATTTTATCCTAAGCTTTTATTGTTGGTAATTCAAAATCTGTGATGAAGTTTTGGTTGTTTTGGTTCACTTAAAATAATAATCATGATTGTGCTGCTGCTTTTCTAGGTTCCGTTGGTCTTGATTACAAATTACCTTCAAAACAAATTCAGAAGCTCAATGGTATGCCTCGTAAATATTCTATGTGATCATTTTATTCTACCAAGTATTATGTCATTAGTTGTCATGAGACTGGCTTAGGTGGTAAGAGTAGGATGAGATCTAAATAATAATCATTCAAACCCTCCTAATTTAACCCCAAAAAAAGTGTTACTTCATATTCTGAAAGTGATTTATTTTCTTCTTGCCAGGTTGGGAATATGATTTTTTGGTTCATATTCAGTATTCTTGGCCAACCTATGTGTGTATTGCTATACTACCATGACTTGATGAATCGGAAGAAGAAAGTCAACCAAGCTAGCATTTCATCGTCAACCATGCAAGGGGACGAGTTTCTTTGAACTGCTGTAGATACGTCGCTACCCAATTTTTCTTTTTCTACGGGAAATGTTTTCTGCCTTGATAGTTGGTCCCATGGGCTGAGCATCTCCAAGTCCCAATTTCTTGATGTTGTTCCAAGGCAATCCATGTACAATGATAAATGCTGATGTTGTAGTGAAACTGGCTTCTTTTAATAGCTATCACGAAGTTGTAAATGGTTTTGGGTTAGACACTCGTGATCTGGAGATGCCTCCCAAATGTGTCGCGTCCACGTAGTGTTGAATAAAACTTCTGGAATTTTGATGCTAGGCCGCTCGCAGTTCTCTTTAAACGAGTTGCATGGAGAATAGTGTTTCATGCACGCTATTGATTTTGTTTACTATCGTCGCTTTGCATCGAGATTATTTTTAGATCAGATGAAGATTGCCTTGAGATTATTCACAATTTGAAGTTATGAACATTGCGTCAGGAACTTCTCTTTTCGGTGATATAGTTGTCTGGAATTTTTTTTTTTGGCCTTTCTAAATTATAAAGCCTTCTAATAAACTTGTGTGAAATTAGAGACGGGAGGCGGAAGCAAACATCAGGGGGGAGCAACTTATATTCTCCTGCTTGTCTTATTCCTAGTCCGGGTGCATCGTTGTTGTTTTTTTTTTTTGGGGGGGGGGGGGGGGGGGGGGGGAATTCGGCAAGTATTAACTCTAAAATTTTTAACCACCATATTCAATTTTTAATACAAGAGTTTAGCATATAATTAGATAATTAATTTGTGGATATTAAAAAATTAGTCAAATTATTTAAAACAAATGTCTAGGTACCTGGAAATCAAATTATTCTTCAAGTGTCAAAGTTTAAATATCTAAGATCTATTATACATGAGGATAATAAAATTGATAGAGACTGTTTCTCAAAGAATTCAAGCGGGTTGGTTAAAGTGGAGGAAAGCTATCAGAGTTATTTGTGATAAGAAGGTACCTGAGAAACTTAAAGAAAAAATTTATCTAACTCCTATAAGACCAATTATATTGTATGGTAGTGAATATTGGGCGATCAAGGAAAAACAAGAGCATAAAGTTGGGATAGCAGAAATGAGAATGTTGAGATGAATATGTGGTCATCCAAGAAAAGATAAGGTTTGAAATAAAAATATCATAGCAAGAGTAGGTGTAGCGTCTATCGAAAAGAAAATAGTTGAACATCGCTCGAGGCGGTTAGCCCATGTGCAAAGAAGGCCATTTGAAGCATCGGTGAGAATGGTAAATTAGACAGTTTGGAGTCCTATAAAAAAGAGCAGATGAAGATAGAGAAGAATACTCAATGAAGTCATTGAACAAGACCTCTTAGTTAACAACATATCTAAGGACTTAGTTGTTGATAGAGCACAATGATATTGTGCGATTCACGTAGTCATCCCACCTAATGAGATAAGGCTTATTGTTGTATTTTAAACAAATAGTCTTAATTTTCCTAAACCATTTTTTCCTTTATGTGTATTGGAAGTTGAAACTACTTTTTAATTAGGAGTTTTGTTAATGTGTATAATTAATAGGGATATTTTAAGCAAGTAATTATAAATTTGAATAGCAAAGTGAATTAAAATTTTATATTTAAAATCAAAGTGAACTCTTTATTTAACTCTTATATTTGAGACCGAAAATAAGGATGGAAATAGGTTAGGCGAGGTTTTAGTCAAATAGGTCTGAGCTTGTAATAGAAGCTTAAAGCTTGAGTCCATATATATGTTTTTTTTTTTTCTTATGCTCAAGTCTCAGCTTTTAAAAGGCCTAGTCAGGCCTAAAATCTTTTTAAAGGTTTACTTAAATTAAAATATAGGCCTTTATTAGATCTTGAAGACCTTAACCAGGTTTTGAGTAGGTTTAAAGACTTGCACCTTGTAAACTTCCACGATATTATAAAATAATTTTTTTTATTACCAGCAAAGAAAACTTAGTTCATATAATTTAATAAATCCAAACAAAAATTAATTCAAAGAGTTATTATTTGAAATCTAAATTATAGAAAATGATCTCACTACTAATACTCTGTAAAAAGAACACAAAAATACTATATAGTCAAATTTTTAAAAAAAAGAATATCCATGCAATGACGTCGATAGCCTACAGTCATTTAAAAAAGGATTGCAACTATGTAAGTTTGCGGGGCAAGTCTGAATGGAGGTCAAGTCTCCACATTCATCACCATTTTCAGGAGGGGAAGTTTGCGGTTGTGCAGAATTAATTTTGCTTGCCAACAATCATTAAAAAAACAAACATTCATGTAAGGAAATATCTATTAAAAAGAAAATCACAGAAAGGAAAGAGCGAAGAATGAAAAAAGACAGTCTGGAAGAATGGAGGAACGCGGTCTGGGTCGTGAAGAAAAATGGAAAGCCAAGGAAAGATAGTGGTGACGGCTAGGTTTCAACAGAAGACACTGAATATTTTAGAATGAAGAGGGTGTCAAAATCTTAGGGTATTACAATAGGCAACTAATTATACTTTTAAACTATAATATAAGAATAAAAAATATAATTACAATATATATAATACAAAAATAATTATATATATTTTACTGCCTGAACAGGCCAGGCCTTAACAAAATAGGCCTGGCCTTTTTACACATTTATGCTTTTGAATAGGCCTTAGCCTACCCTGACAGGCTTGTTCAGCTCTAACTAGGCCACACTATAAACCGCCTGATAGAGACCTAACTTATTTTCATCCTTAGGTGAAAGCCGTATATTGTTACTTGAGCTACTTCGTACCCTTGCCTATGCCCTATTGAGCACAAGCACTTTATAAATAACCTATTAAGAATCCATTTAGAATAACTTATAAATAACTTATAATTTACAAAATACAAAATAAATATATAAAAAGAATTTTATTTCAACTTACGTAAAACGTACTTATAAGTAATTTCAAATACTAATCCAAACATGCCCTTAGTGATGGTTTGAATTGACCAATTTAAATACTTATAATCATGTTTCGTGTAAACCAAGATAAACTCTTCATATACCTTGTATTCTACAAATCATGATTGAAAAACTACTTATAAACCATTCTAAACAAGCTATAACTAAATTGACACAAATTGAAGGGAAGACGGTATTGCTTAAAGTAATCACCGTGGATTATAATATTTAACTGCAACCAAGTTAAGGCAAGAGTAATTTAGTTATGACTTTCCGGTGAACATAAATTTCTCCGTTCCATAAGATATGCACCAGGAAAACGGGTAATGGGAAATCTCCTTAACTTCACTACTCAATGAAACAAGCGCAGCCTACAAATATTCTTCAAAATAAAAGGCACCACAGATTAAAGACTTCGGCAGCGAAATGTGCACATGTGACTTCCAAATTGGGAGATAACATCCACAAGACATCCACAACCTCCAACTGCCATGACCTGAGACATAAATGCACCAATCAAGTCGAGATTGAATCAAGAATGTACATCAACTAAAAGTATTAATAACAAAAGAAGAATTCAAATCAAGACAATACCCCTGATGGATGTAAGGAGATAGAAAAAGATGATGGAGGCGCGCATTGTATTTGCGAAAGGATCGCACCATTCATGTCAAATCGATTAAGTAGATGACCTGCACCAACTGCCAATATCTGACATGGATATGCAAACATTAACAGACTAAGTATTGGATAATATGTATAAATACAACACAATGAAAGCTTTCCAATACCATATCATAACCAAGTAAACCGCTATTCAGTCCTCGGAAAAAAATTCATCAGTCCTAACATTCTGAAGAAAGCATATAAATTCAATTCTATAATCAGTTTTGTTAACCTGTTAACAGGGTCGTCCAAGTGGAGACGATATTCTTTGTATTGTCAAGCAGCTAGACATGTTAACATTCACGTCAGCTTTCAATGTTCCAAAGTGAAGAAAGTTTATTCATACGAGTAACCATGTCAACACGAAGACAACATAACTTGCCGTTTTTTATCCCTTTATCCCAAAGTCAATACGCCATTATTTTTCTACTGTCAAGTATCTAGATGTGTTGCTGATTATTCACGTCCGCCATGCCAAAGAAATTTAATCCACAAGAGCAACTATATTAACAAACTCGCTGCAGAAGTGAATAAATATAATTTTCAGAAGGTTTGGAGTGATTTAAAGGTAATTATCTTTCAAGGGTTTAATCTATGGAATGAGAATATTTCAGGGACCAAATGCTACATTAACTCTTCAAAAATCTTGTCTCCAACGTAAGCCCATAAAACCAAATTATTGGGACGGTATTTAAAACACCTCAAGAGATAAAGCAATAATCTACTCACTTGATTGTTGTCAAATAACATGTCCTGTACAGAAGAACCCGTTGAAGTCTTTGATATGCATTCTGAAGCAGGCAGATTCCAGAGCGATATACTCCGACCATAGCTACAAGCCTGTAATTGGTGACAATATACAATAGTCCCTCAAAATACTCCTAACATCGATAAACTATCATAAGATATGTTAATATTTAAATTCAGGAGACTGCGTTTTACAACGTATGTGTGCATTGCACTAATTTTCCTGACGCCTACAGAAAAAAGACACCTATGAAGTGTAATCATTACTAATATGATACATTCGCTTCAAGAAATAGGAAATTATTAGCAAAGAGAATTATTTTTCTACTAAAAAAGTGAAATAATGTTTTATTATCAGAAATTACTGTTATTTTTGTCTTAAGGATAAATATTTGATGGTTGAAGCCAATAATAAGCTATTATGTGCACTACTATTCTGGTTTCCAAAAATAAATTGTTGACAAAAAAATTCTTAATCATCTTCGCGGTAGCTACCGTATTGTCCTAAGTCAGCAAACGCATTTCTCTTACCAGAACATCACGTAGAAAATATACATATACATACACGTCTACCCTATATATAAAGGAAGGGAGGGAAGGCGCATGAAGGTAATTATAAAATAATAGATACGTTCTTACCAACCAGCTCTCACTTGCATCTAAAGCGACAGAACTAATCCATGAAACAAATCCTTTTGACTTCAAATCTTTTGCAGGATCAATCACTTTGATACACTTTCCACTTTTGCAATCTAGTGAACACAGTACATGAGCCACAAAAATAAAAGGATACTATAAGGAAGCCGCACAAAATGTAATTGGTATACATCGATTTATCATGTTACTTTTCTGTTACAATTACTGACACAACGAAATAAATAATACCCCAGATTCGTGCAGTCCCATCCTCTGAACCTGTTATAATCTGAAGATTGTTCAGAAGGAACCCACAGTTAGACATGTTAGAGACCACAACTTTTGGTGAAATATATTAAATTTCTCATGTTACAAGTACAATAGATAAGATACCAACAAAGTAGTTATTATCTTTTGATAAATGAGCTATTAGCCTATTAGCAAAAAAGAAAGGATATTTTTTATTAGCTTGAGTTTGCAAAACACCTGTCATATATTTTCTACCAGAAGTACATAAGACTTCAGATTCTACAACTAAGTGACGTCCCCTAATCAGTGTACGGACTAGAAACAATACTTCTCAAACCATCTATAAGGACTTCAACAAAACAGTTTCATAGTCTATACCCTATACTACTTCCTTTCCTAATTTCCTCGTTGATAGCCTTCTATATGGTACTTATAACTGTTAGTCCATTTCTATCGCATTATTAATTTATATATATTAACAGAAAAGAATGAAGCATGGTGAACTCTTAAAAAATCAAGCGATATCACTCCCAAAATTAATTGATATAAAGAGTTAATGAAAAGAAATTATCACTGTCAAGTAAAAAGTTAAAAATGTCTGCACCTGACTGGCTGAGTTTCGGGCAACTAAACAATGCAAGTAGTCCGAGTGCCCCTTGAAAACAGTTTTCACTTTACCAGTTGCCTACAAACATCAACACATATCACTCTAATGTCAACATATAAAATCAAAATATCCCAGGAAAGAATACAACAAATTTTAGTCAATATATACTAAATATTCACCTTAAACAGATACATACCACATCCCAACAATATGCACAAGAATCACCAGAAGCAGAGAAAACAGATCCTCCCTAAAATTAGACAAGAAAATAGATACTAACTCAATAATTGAAGAACAAACAAAATACTCTGACATATTTTCAAAAAGGGGGAAAACAAATATAAAACCTTGGTGTCAACAGCAATAGCATTATTCTCAGGAATAGGCGAAAGAGCACCCCAAGGACCTCTGAAACGACAACAATAAAATGATATTTGGTATTGGAAGAGAACGAAGATGGGAAACATAGCAATCCAGAATTGACGCTGGGAATATAGAAAAAATTGGTCAATGAGATAACAAGAACTAGAGGAACAGAGATTTGACTGAGTTTAATACTATTTGATAAACCATGAATAATCTGAGCACGCCTAATTGCAAACAAAGATTCCTTTTTGTCCGGAGAAAATGATTCAAAAACAACATTGAAATTATATAGGAAAAATCAGAATAGTAGAAGGAAATAAGAGAAATTCAGGGCAGTGTAAAGAAAGGAGGGAGAGTAGAAACTTGGTAACGCTATTCAAATCTCAACTAATGCATGAGAAATCCAAACACATAGCGATCACTATGTTAGAAACTATAACAAAAGCTATTCATGGTTCACGGTTCTTCAATTTATAGCTTAAGTGTTTGAATTTAGATGGTCATTGACACGGTATCAAAGCCTCTAAATAGGAGGCCAGAAGTTTGACTTTCAAATGCCTTCACGTAGTAGCTTAAGATTTTGAGCAGAAATGAGGCTTCAAAGGTGACACCTTAAATTGCTAAAAATCCAGCGTGTGTGTAAATTACTGAATAACCTCAAATTACTAATAGATACCAAAACACAGCGTTCTTTCAATTCCTTCAAATATATGTACCCATACTCAAAACTCATTTGTATATCCTATTCCCATTCCACTTCCCTCCCCAATATCTGTTACCTGCATCACTTTCAGAAATATTTGGTACAGTGAATTGAACAATAATGCTAGACTGGTATTAGAGCTGTGAAGTGACTACAGGAAGAAGACTCGGTTCATCACTAATATACTTAAAAAAAAAAAATCAAATTAAGGAGGACGAGATTTCTCTACTTCTACAACAATGTAATCAAAATAAATCAACAACACACTAACATATAAAATAATTTTTACATAGCAACCCATGCTATTCACAAATCATAACAATACAACTTATTTCTCGAAGTCTAAATAATGCAGGGGAAAACATGTCTAGTTACAAATCATATGGTTTAAGCATACATGTTCTGCTAACTCACTTGTGCTGAGGATTCACTAGGTCAAGTAAAGGCTTGATGTCACTTCCTGCAAAAATGTGGGATGGCATGTGTAGGACATTAAGGAAGCTCCATTATAAAAGAAAATTGGGCAAAAGGATGGTGACATAGAAGAAGAAAATAAAATTGACCTATCAAATCTGATACCCACTGTGAGATTAAAAAAAAAAAAAAAAGACCAATGAAGATGCTGGAGAAAGAGACAAGACTAGCATCAAATGTTGCAGAGTAAATGAACATATCGCGTCTAGCTTCATGAATGTCAAAATAAGAATCCACAATCAATCATTTTGAGGTAAATTCACACGCTGAACTCTGTCCCTTAACAAAGACATGTGCAAGCCTAACCTCAGGGCATGTAATTCTTAACCACCAATCAGTTTGGCTTGAATTTATTTCCATAGTCTCCTGTGTTACTTATTTTGTTTCAAGCTTATAGAAAAACATGTAAGTGAATAGACCACGTGAACAACTTTATGGCTCCTAGTTTCACAATTTTTAAATTCTTTACTGAACAGATGCCAACAAACAAAAGTATAAAGGGTAAAGAAAAAGAAACAATAACTGTATAATCAACTGGTCAGGCTAATTCAAAGTTTAACTGCAACAATAAGATTTATTACCAAGCAAAGATGATGAATCCTTTGATCCAGCAAGCTCCTTCCATCTCCATCCCCGAATCCGACCATCATCGCCACAACTGCATGACAAAGCCACTGTCACGGGGTATGCCAAATGGTAAACAATCTCATATCACAGTCCATGAAAGCACATACAAGCATTTCAACATACATGAGTTACAAGTTCACTAATACACATTAATATCAATTTGCTTTCTTCAATAATGAGAAAATTGAGACACAGAGTTGTACACAAATAACACACACACACACACACTTATTTCTTTAATTTTAAAAATCCTCAGGATTTTTTTTTCTTTTGCCTCTTTTAAATAATGCGAGGAGATGAGTTAGAGCACTAGATCTTCAATTCACAAGCCACCACCCAGCATTTCTTAATTCTAAGATAAAGTCATATGCTGAACCACCAACAAAACAGGAAATGTTTCTCATTGTATAGGAGAATAAGCTTTTCTTTTTCTACATGAGCACAATCAAAGAAAAATAAGTACATTCATAAATGACCTGCTTCTAAACTTGACATCATAAGGTGTATCGTATGGAGGTGGAAAGTTATTAAGGAGTGTAAGAGAGCCATGGAATGAATTCAAACCTCAATAACAGAGAATCTTCATCATCCCCGTAAAACTCGACATCATAAGCAGGTCCATCGTGCCCTTGAAAGAAGCAAGTTGGTTCAGCAAACAATCTAGGCCAATTGCATCATACGCGAAAACAAACTTCACCAATAAGAACCAAACTCTTAATGTGTCATAAGCAACTATAGGGATTTATACTTACTTTTGTGTCTTTATGTTGGTAAAACCAAACGGCTGCAACATATTAAAAGAAAGTGAAAATGAGAGACCCGACTTCCGCAATTTTTTTCCTAAAAAACAAGAATTAAAAAAAAACAAAAAAAAAACAAAATGAATAGATAACAGAGTAAAAGAGAGCAAGACTGACGAGATTGGAAATGCAAGAAGGGATAGAATAGGAGGCAATGGATCCGTCACTGGACGCAACAACGAGGACATCCGGGTTAGGGTTTCGTGTGGGAGCCCAAGCGGTTCTAAAGACAGTTCCGGTTTCAATCTCCCTCTCCTTCAATATGCTTTCCCTGTAGGCATTTTCGTCCCAGTGGGTGGCGTCTCCGGGCATTGCTGCAGCTCAGGCTTAGTGAAGGAACTCCAGCGTTTTCAGTAAACTGGTGCTCCTGCAATAATTAACGCTCATGCTAAAATGGAAACAATTAATAATTTGGTCACAATAATTTATTCGAGGTCCTGAACGCGCATTTTTTTTAATACAGATTTTTTTTACCAGCTGAATTCAGAATTCAGTAATGAGCGAAAAATAATTGGAAGTTGGATGCTCATTACACACACCTGTATATCTCTATATATAAACACACACACACAAACGCAAGCAATAGTTTTCGGGGAAAATGACCAAAAAAAAATTAAAAACTAGTAAATGCTAAATAAGAAATATTAATAAAAATTTGTTATTATTTACAAATACAGTATTACTAACACCAAATAAAGATTCGTTACCAACCTGATCTGTGATTTAATGATTTCCTTTTTTTTTTTGTCATTTTCTCTAGTATGACACTGGATTGTTAATTAATTAACTATTTTTGAGTTTGATGTGTAATTATGGTTTAAGGATGAACATTAATTTATTTAGATTTGAATATTATGTTATGAAATTAAAAGTATATTAGTTCAATTATTATTGGTTTAGTTATGCGTTGGCTTTTTACAAAAGTGATTGAACCAATAGCCGGCTAATTTAGTGTGTGTTCTAATTTTTAACCATTATGTTTACTGATATATTATTTTTAATTAAATTTAACAAATTTTTTCCTGCACAATTCGATTATTTTTTTTTATAAATAGAATTGAAAGAGTAATTAATATTAACTGAAAATGATAAAATTACATGATGAATTAATAAAATTATGTCTATATTAACATAATATGAGTAGGTGTTAATTCAATGGCTAATTGCGTGGTGGCAACATCACCTGCCACTTACTATATTTGAATGAGATTTTAAATTTGAGCTATATTTGTGTGCATGCGTTTATTTTGAAAAACATAACATGAGTAGGTAATTCATGCCCATGCACAGTGATCTTATACTCTGTAGTCTGTGGTCTCGTCCCCCTTCTCTCACTCCCTTTTATTTTGGGCTAAAAGCCCAGAGTGGGAACAAAAGGCATTAGGCTACATTTTTTATTACTCAACAACGTTAACTTGACAAGTTTGACGAAGTAGAATACAGTGCTTACAAGGCTGATTAATCTGAAATGAAAACCAAAGTGAGGAGGGAAAGAGAATCTAACAAAAGAAAGACTCTTGATCTTTCTCTTGGGTACAAGGACAAATAGATAGTTCACTACTAGAAAACTTTCACCACTTAACCTACTACCACTTGTTAAGAAGAATCGTTTGCTTGCACGCCTGATTAACCTAGAGATGAAAACCAAGGCACGAATTATGAATCGAACAAATTAAAAGAGACAATCTTGAGACCTGTCTCTCACAATGACCATACTCTTAATTTTTGCCTCCGAGAACACCCTTGAGCTTCTTCACCTGCGCAGCATCAAGGAAAGTGGTTGCTGTTATCAATGGAGTGGGGAAATCACTCTTGAACAATGCGAAATCAAGAATTTGCAGCCCAGGATTTGCACTACTGAATGTCACGATAGCCAGGGCCTTAGAGTCGCCAGCGTCGATCTGGAAGTGAAGCAAGCCTTGTGGAAACACCATAGCATCACCCTTGTTGAGATTTCTGAGGAACACTGTGTTATCAGAAGCAATGAAGCCTGCACAAATTGAACCTTCCACAACATAAAGTGCTTCTGAGGCTCCGGGATGGGTGTGAAGTGGTATAACCCCACCTTTTTCTATGTCCAAACGACCCAAGGAAATTCCAAGGCCATTGAGGCCTGGAAATTGAGCATCAAAAGCCGGTGTCACTGCAGCTTTTATAATGTTTGAGGTGTTACCTGGAACGCCAAGGCCATGGAATACAAAGTCATCCACAGTGACTTTTGAGGGCTTCTTGCAAGAATACCCAGAAGGATTGTTGGGAGCAGCATAATCTGCAACACAAAAGTCTAGCACAGAAGCTTGAGAGGAGGAGGAGAGGAGGCAAAAGACGAAGATAATGGGGAGAATCATCTTTATTTTAGCTGGATATGTTTCTTTCCCCTATTTTTCTGTATGTGATAAAGGGTTGGATGATACTATATAAGAAGGGACTGCGAGTGAATTTCTTTAACCATTGCTTTTTGAGTTACTGTGGTATGGGTGAGATTTTTCTGATATAGGCACGCATGGAAACGACAGATTTTGCATTGGGAAGCCCGTGAATGTCAACTTTGGAAGTATCCTCTGACAACAAGAAGAGGCCTCTTTTTCTTTGAAATCATTGGGATAGGAATCTTCTCCGCTATGTTCTACTGCCAACAGTTGGACCTCCTTTAATTTGTCTGCAATAAATAATTGATTGCACTACTGTACATGTGTAGTCAATTGAATTCCATTTAATCCTTCCGTTTAAAGCATGTCTTTAAATTTTCTAATAGCAATATATAAAGTTCAGAATGATGCGGTTTATACATGTTTATCTGATATCCTTCTCTTCATTCGTTCCCATATCAAGAACTTTTTGCCATAGGTGAGAGTTAAAATTGGGGTATTTTCAGAATAAAAGAAGACAATTGGCAGGCTGTGAAGAGATCGCGAATCAAATTAAAATTAAAACAGTTGAAGTCAATCCAGATCCTATTTTTTCCTTCAAAAGTGTCCTGCAGCCACAGCTTACTGTGGTAACTTTTGGCCATTGGAATTTCTCAGTTTTCACTTTAGCATTAACTTGACGGTCATTGAAGTATCTATAATCGTGCAAAACTAGGAAACATACAGAAACAATGTATACTGGTAAGACTGTAAGATGGTCTGAAGTTGAATCTGCCCTCAATCTGTCTTCATCAATTTCTTCTAAAGGTTTTTCATTTTTCAGTCATAGAATGGTATGACATTTTCTTACGGATAAATTAAAAAGTGATCCTTAGACAATGCAAAATGAGATTATTTCTATTAATGTGTCTTTTAAATTGTAGTTTAATATGTTCGTCATAAGTTTCGGATGAGGGAAATATTTAACCCACAAGAATTGTGCCCTTTAAACTATAGATTTGAAACGCAAGATTTCATTTAATTTTGAAACTTCTAATAATGGCTTGTTCCTTTTTATTGAGGCTGATGGTGGGTTGAACATTAGTTTTAATCTGTTCATGTTGCGGATTAAGTCATCTTAAAACATAAAATTCATTCATAAAGCCGAGAGTTCATACTCTCACAACATTTGAGCATACATTGATTGAAAATGAGTTAAAGATAGAGAAGATAACGTCCCATTTCAGACACATTAACATAAAGACCATACATTTTGTTCATCTCTTGCGGCACAATTTTCTGAAGTTAGAAATCACCTGACTCATACAAATACTCGACAACTAGAAACAATAAACAAAAACAATGTCAGACTACTACTATTTCTTAACCTTGGTACCAACACACTGCTCAACAAGAATCCCATTAATACAAACACGACCAACTTAAAACGAAAACCAAGGTGTGAAATGAATCAAACATAAGAGACACTCTTTGAGGCCAATCTCTTTACAAGGACAACAATCTCTCAGTACTTCTAATTTTTGCCTCCAAGAACACCCTTGAGCTTCTTCACCTGAGCGACATCAAGGAAAGTGGTGAGTGCAATCAATGGGGTAGGCAAATCACTCTTGAACAACGCGAAATCAAGGATCTGGAGGCCTGGATTTGCACTACTGAAGGTCACAAGAGCCTGGGCCGACGTCCCACCAGCATTGATCTGGAAATGAAGTAAACCTTGTGGAAACACCATAGTGTCTCCCGTCTTGAGAGTTTTGAGGTATACAGTGTTATCAGATGAGACAAAACCAGCAGTGATTGAACCTTGAAGTACAACAAGTGCTTCTGAGGCTCCAGGATGGGTGTGAAGTGGTATAACCCCACCTTTTTCTATGTCCAAACGACCCAAGGAAATTCCAAGGCCATTGAGGCCTGGAAATTGAGCATCAAAAGCGGGTGTCACTGCAGCTTTTATAATGTTTGAGGTGTTACCTGCAACGCCTAGTCCATGGAACACAAAGTCATTGACAGTCACCTTTGAAGGCTTCTTGCAAGAATATCCTGCAGGACTGTTGGGACCTGCATAATCTGCAACACAAAAATCTAGAACAGAAGCTTGGGAGGTGGAGGAGAGGAGGCAAAAGATGAAGATGATGGGGAGAATCATTTTCACTAGTCTGCTGAATTTCTTTTCTTTGGCGGTTATCTGGTAAAGAGTTTGGGAGATGAAATATAAGAAGGGAGGGGCATGTAAATGTGTATTCTTTTACCATTATTATTGAGTTACTATGACAGATAAGATTTTTCTTATGTCTGAATGGGAAACGACAGAATTTGAGCTGTACGTTATTCACGCGAATGTCAAGTTTGGAAGTTTTCTACACAACACCAACGAGAAGCCTCTTTTTGCTCTGAATCACAATGGCAGGAATCTGCTCCAGTATGTTCTACTGCCAAAGATGTTTTGCTTCAAGTGTCGAACACTCTTTGATTGGGAATGCAAAACTTAGTAGTGCAGATTTAGTATACAAGTAGAGAATTGGAAATGAGAAGATAGAACAGTGTAGGTTGTGTTACATAATCATATATGAAAATGAAGTATTTGCGTCTGATGCTCATCATTGCTCCTCTACCTGTCAATATAATTTCTTGAAATTACATAAAGTTTACTTTCTTTGAGTTTGTGCTTTCTGAACTCAACTTTAAGAATTGACCAAATTAAACTGATTAAATCAAAACATGGACGCTTCTAATTAATTATGGTTTTTGTGTAACTGACGTAACGCTTCTGCTAACAAGGATGCATTTCAGTCCAACCCTTGTTATCCTTATAAGTCGCATCAGATGGGAAATTATTCAAGCTAGCCATATATATTAATGATAAATAAATAGAAATAGAAGCAAATATTTTTAAAACTATGGAATGTGGGCAATAAAAAAGCTGACTAATTATTTTATCATAAATATACTTCCACTCTTTGATGCACCGATGCACTGATCTCTCACGTTTATTTGCAAGTTTCCTTGGTAGTTTTTATTCCACTGCCCTATGGACTACACATGCGCAGTTCCTTAAATGTCTGTCCTATTGTATAACTAATAGAAATATAACATTTCAACCCTTGTCTAGCGTCATTCTTGAAGGTGAATGGAGGATTAATACTCACAAAAATCAAAGGGATAGTATATAACCATAACATTCCGGAGTAACAATGAAATGGAAAAGCCTACATTGTTTTTGTAGCTAGTGTCTCATCCTTTGTGCTGTTACAGGAATCAAAATCATATATGTAAATTCCATACAAAACTCAAGAAGGGTAGGAAAGGTAAAACAGGTGGTCCACAAGTGCACAAGACAAGAGAATGTGATGAAGGCATAAGAAGACGTTTTGAGACAGCTAGAAGAAGGACCCTCTGCAAGTCAGACACATAATCCAAGGACATACATACTTGTGATTATCTCAATTCCCTGTCTTTCAGGGAACTTAGGTTTTCACTGAAGGTAGAAAAATGCCAGCTTTTTGCTGTCCCTTCAACATGAAAATCTCTCCGAGCCTTTCTCTTTGAAATTGGTGCACAGAAATTCTACTGAATGCTCACATCCATCAAAGGATAAGGTTTTGTTCAGCAAAACCAGCAGAAACCAGTCATTTCCATAGCAGCGTGAAGAAAGGGTCTCAATGAAGTCACCATCATTGTCATGTGGTCGTGACGAAGAGATATGGGTTGTCGGTTGCGAAATCTGTCAGCTTTTAGATATTATTGAACTTAAAATTGATGTTTGAAGAAAAAGGTGCAGATTGTGATTGAGATGCATTGAGCGGCCGGCCAGCATATTACGTACGAGAGATGGGTCAAGTCTATGGGGTGTTTCTTTTTGCTAGATTCATTTCCCACCTTATATTTCATTTCCATCAGATTGATAAGTTTTGCAAGGATGTGATTCTTCTTTCAGAAGCAAGTAGCTAGAAAATAACATAACATTTTATTATGAGATACAAGTGGAGACAATTATCGAAGATTAAGAGTGTGAAAGCACATGAATATCCGTGATTCAAACATTGAGTTCAGAGGACCTAATATTATCAAGTTAATTTTGATTTTAAGTGTAAGATCTATTTTCATATTATGAATTTTTTTAAATTATCCATATTAATCTTCCCTCAACTATAATCAAGTAGGAGAGAAATGAAGGATATTAAAAAAAGATAATTATAATATTTAAAAAAAACATGTCATATTTCTTATAATTAACTAATTTTTTCAATCTAATCAAATTAGTTAAATAGATTTGACATAAAGGATTAGAAGAGCCTTGTTTGAAATCATTCACAAGATATCAGTTTTATACACACACACAACTAAAAGTAGGATGTAAACTTGGCTAGTGTTCAATACTGCTCATCTTGGTGATAAACAGCACTCTCAGTGTGGGCTCTGCTGATTATGAGAAATTGAAGTAACTATTATTAGTTACAAATATTCTTTGAAATAATTTATTGGGTCAATATGTCTCATTTTGGTTTTAGTTCTCAAATTTCAAACCATATGTTTTGGTCTCTCAAAAAGTAAAATGATCCAAGTCATTATTAGATAATAGAAACTAATGTTTTAAATAAAAAAAAACTTAAGGAATCAAAACTTATAGTTTAAAACTTGAAAGACCAAAATCAAAATAAAGATAAATTTAAAGTACGGAAGTTTGTGTTAGCCCCAATTTATTTGTACTTTTGAGTTGTCCTGGTACTGCTGGTAGCAGTCGTCATTTATAGAAGCCAGAAGAAATATGTAAACAGTAATCATATAGTAATCCTCTTGAAATATGCCTCTAGATTATTCTAGAATCCTCCACATATAGGGTCATCTCGCATCCTTTGCGTGGCATCAAATTTCACATTACAAGGCCCTGAGTTCAGAAGTGCAATAATAAGAATACATAATGCTATGAATATTGTATTTATAAAACTACATTATGTCCAAACTGAGATGAAGATTTTTGGAGCATCATCTGGTGCCGACGAAACACTGATTCTGCACTTTGGAAGGAAAAGAAAAATTAGAAGTTCTATATATATGTCCATTCCATCCTATATGCTGAGAGCTTTCAACCCTAACAGAGCCGGTCTTATAGGCAATAACAATTATGTTGTAGTCTGTAGAGCCAAGGAATTGATGACAAAGACGATCGAAGAGAATTCAATTCATTCATCAATTCACATAAAATTAAATCTGCATAATCATGTTTGTTTTTCTCTTGGAAACAATTTTTTGGACTTAGTTATGACAATATTCATGGATTTAGTTTCTTTTCATTCACTAGAAATTAATTCATGAAGGATGACTTGGTAATCATGTCAAATTATATTAATGATGACTTGGTAATTTAAGCTATGCCAGCGAAAGCCATCCATCATTTTAACAAATATATGACATTGTGGGGGTTTTTTTTTTTTTTTTTTTTTGCGCTTTAATAGTACCGTGTGTTACATAAATGAGGTTTTAAGTTTTAACAATTCATATTCAAAGAAAAATTAACGAATGACCTTTTGAGTGTGAGCCAATAATTGAAATCAAGTGGAATTCATGATTCAATTATTAAGGATGATGGTATTTATAATTTTTGTCAAAATTAACAATTGAAAACATGAAAATGACTTCTTATATATATTGATGTTAAATTTTCAAATTCAAAAACAACTAATATTGGCTGACAAATAATATCGGGTCACCGAAGTATTGTTCCTCTATTTCAAGTTTACGTAGGATTAATTTCCTTTATGATGATTGATTCATTTCTTTTTGCTTGGAAACGGGGAATCCTCCTAATTATTAGTATTTTTTGGTCATTTATTATTATTTTTAATTAGAAGCTGAATACATTATGCTATTAAGAAAGCTTTATCTGTGTGTGTGTGTGTGTGTGTGTGTAAATCAAGTCAAGTTAGAGTATTGTCGCGGTGAATATGTGATATTTTCTCACTTGCGAAGTTTAATGAAAATTTTAGATTTCATCCATCAATACTAAATCCATTTCTATTCATATAAAACTATAAAGTGTTTTGACAATCTATTGGGGAAAAAAATAATTCTGATTTTTATTCATTCGTCAAATGTTGATCTGCAAGATCCGTTTTTCTCTTTCACAAGATATTGACCTACTTTTAAAGTTATTCAATGACAATTTCTCATTTATGATGATGGATCCCTTTTGAAAAAAGTGATTGTTCTCAATGTATATTTATATGTGTGTGTGTGTGTATTCAAACTAGAATTTCTTTCCTCATAATGCACAAGATAAATAATAACTTAAATTTTTTTAAAATTGATTTTTCTAACATTCAAACTCACTTAAAATATGCAGAAAAAAAATGAAATTTTAAAGAAAGGAAGCAATATAAAAGATCCAATGAAATGTTTATTGAAATTTGAAAAAAAAAAACCAATAGAAAGTCAACATATGTATATGTGTGTGTACATATATATAGCTCACGAGGAGACAGTATTATTTTTAACTTGTAATTTTATATATTGATGTTGATGATTGATTTCAATTAAGCATCTAGTTAGGATTCAACCCATGATAGTGTGTATGGAAAAGGTTTTGTGACAAACACTAAAACTCCTTCAAAAAGTTTACGGTATGAAGAGATTAGTCACTATTGGCAGTGGATACCCTAGGTTCAACTAAAATAAAGTATCATGCCCTGATTAATTGAGTAAACCTAATTTGATAATGGCCCAAACTGACCAAAATTAAAGATAAATAACCGTTAGTGCTTTATTGTTTCGGTCCCTTGATTTATTGCCTTTTCAGCTTCCTTCCACTGTTTTATATAGCCAGAGATCCTCAAAGATACTATGGCGAAAAATATCATGAATTAATGTTGAAATTAAATGTCAAGATGATTCTTTTCTTTGGCCTAAAAATGTCAAGATGATTAAGTCACTATAATTTAGATCCTTTAAACGGAAAAAAAGTAAAACCGTAATGATAAAATTGAAAAGAGTATAAAGAATTAATTGTAATTTTTAAAATATATAACAAAATTAATAAAAGTCTAGAAACTATCATCAAAGTAAATGTATATTCTTTCTAACACCTGAATTCTTGTCACAGAACCATTTTCATTCCAGATTTCCTTTATCAATTATTGTCCAAGGAAAATGTTTTAATGGCACATTAATTTTATTTACATATTTTTTTTTTTTTTAAAGAACATGAGACATAAAAGAGCATGGTGTGTGTATATGTAGAG